ATGCAAGAGCTGGTCAGTACTAATTACACCCATTATAGATCTGTGGCAGAATGTGATTTATATAGTGTATATATTATATAATATATTTATGTAATATTTATAATATAAAGTCTGCATTAAGTATGCTTAAACATGAATATTGTGAAATATTATTACAATTTAAAATAACTGTTATATTTAATATATTTAAACATTTAATTTATTCCTTTGATGGTGAAGCTGAACTTTCTGTAGCTGAATTTTCATTCATCTTCAGTGTCACATGATCCTTCAGAAATCACTCTAATATGCTGATTTGGAGCTCAAGAAACATTTCTTAATATTATCAATGTTGAAAACAGTTGTGTTATCTCTTTTTTTCTTTCAGGATTCTTTGTTCAATAGAAAGTTTAAAAGAACAGCATTTATATGAAATAGAAAGTCTTTTAAAGTTGTAAAAGTTTGATCCGATTAATGCATTCTTGAATAATACAATTAATTTTCTTATATATTTGTGTGTATATGCTACAAAATCATTTAACTTAGTGGAGCAAGCAAGTCTTTTTTATTCACTGCTTGTTTCCTCTGAGCATGTTTCACCTCTTCACCCATCCTCTGTATGTTCTGGGCTGGGATTTCAAGGAGATTGAGTAGAGGATTAGAGAAGCTCAATGTTTTCAAGACACTGAGTCAAGATCTACTTCACACACACACACACACACACACACACACACAATGCTCTCTGGCCTTTTTAGATGATCATTAGACAAGTTGCACTTCTCTGCAGGTTTGTTAGAGGATGTCTTTATAAGTACTGAAGTGCTTACGATGCTGTCTGTGAGAAAGTTCATATTGCCCTCTGTCAAACACCCTTTTGTGGGTCACTGTGCCTGAGCTTATTGAGGTAACTGTGTAGACAGAGTTATTCTGGGACGACAGCCATTACCTACTTTAAGACATAGAAAATTTTCCACAACATGAAATATTAAAATAGCAGCAGTAAAGGTTATCGGCAGGGGTCTATCCAAGTATGTTTTTAAATTCCTTTATTAACTCACCACTCTCTAAATACATTATGACATGAATGTCTTCAGGCAAAACAAACAGGGAAGTGTGGCGCATGGAGTTATTATGGAACCTGTTTATGCCTCATTGTGACTTTGTATCTTGATCTTGCAGTGTGACTTTGTATCTCACAATATGACTTAATATCTCATAAAACAACTTTATTGCAATTGCAACTTTATTTTTCTTAATTGCAACTCAGTATATCACAATTGTGACTTTATACAATATCTTGCAATGTGACTTCTATATCGCAATTCCAACTTTTCCTTAACTCAATTCCAATATTTTTATAATTGCGACTTTCATACAGTATATAATTATATTGTACAATGTACAATATCTAAAAAAAAAACTTTATATATTGCAATTGCAGCTTTGTTTTTCATATTTGCGACTTTGTATCTTACAATTATGGCTTTATATCTTTATATTTTGCAGTGTGACTTTATATCTCACATTGTGACTATATCTCTAAAATTGACTTTAAATATCACAATTACAACTTTTTCGTAATTGCAACTTTGTATCTCACAATTGCACCTTTACCTTACAATGTTACTATCCCTAAAAATTACTTTATATGTTGCAGTTGCAACTTCGTTTTTCGTAATTGCGATTTTGTACAATTTCTCACAAATTGCGACTTTATATCTTGCAGTGTGACTTTATACCTCATAATGTGACTGTCTCTTTAAAAACGGATTTATACATTGCAATTACACAACATTGTTTATTTCATAGTTGCGATTTGCAGTGTGACTTTATATCTCACAGTGTGATCTCACAAAGCGATCTCGCAATTGCAACTTGTTTTTTTTACATAATTGTGATTTTATTTTTTATTGTAAACTTAATCTCCCAATTAACGTGTAGGGTTTCCACGTGGAGTTTTGCATGTACATCTCTTTTCATGTACAGTCTTGAGCTTTCAATGGCCTTTTACAAGGCCTACAACTTGCAGACATGGTGTAGACTGCTCGAGGCTTGTTTCATACTCCAGCCTTAGTGGACTTTTTCCTTTTCTAACCACCCTAATTGGCATATTACACCACATTTAGCGTTTCTTTTATGATTCACGCTTCCCTGTGGACAAACTCCCACATTCCCTTGCTCATCGCTTTGTGGCACTGAGGGAATCACGCCACGTTTGGGATTCGGATTTGGATGGCTGTCACACCAGTTCATCCCCAAGAACATCAAAGCCTTTCGACTAGAGGCTTTGAAGTTCCTTCCAAAACAGCGAACCGTTCCTCCACTGGCATGTGGATCAAATCCAAGAGAATGGGAATTGGACTGGAGTGCTGTCATTACTGAAGGATGGCCTAATGACGTTAAACCAAAAACGACTGCTCTCACAGCGACCACGGAGGCAGCAGCCCCCGTACTTGAGGGAGCTGAGCTGGTGTGTTTTACTAATACGTTAGCCCAAGGTCTAAACCAGGCAGGTTCATGAGGCGAATTCGAAATAAAGTTTTGCCTGGAGAATACAAATAATGGATCTGTTTTCATATCCTGATGTTTTGATGAATGTGTATGTATACAAGGGTATAATTATGGCATGCATAAACCCCAAGGAGAAATATGAGGAGTTTGAGGTCTGTCAAGGTGTGTGTGTGTGTGTGTGTGTGTGTGTGTGTGTTTAATAATACTAATATGCTTCTGTAACAGAGTATTTCTTCACAGTTTGAAACAGTACTTTTTGAAAACAGTACCCTATTATTTGTTTTAGTTGTTATTGTTATTAACTTGATTTTTAAAAAGTACAAAACACTTAATTCGAGCTTAAAATAAACTGGGCTACAAAGAATATTTTTTTTAATGGGGTCATGAACTGCATCTTTTAATTAATTTATAATGCTCCCTGAGGTTCACTTATAATGTTAGTGTGATTTTACATAATAAAAAAAAAACATCACAATAGGTTATTTTCTATTTGAACCTCTCTGCAGAACAGTCTGTTTTTATAGGCAGGACGCATTCAAGACACACAAGTAAATGACTACTGCTATGATTGGCTAACAGTTTCGCTTATTAAAATAGCAGATGGACGCTGCTGTGACGTACTTTGAAAACAACATGGGTCATTTGGTTTAAAACCTTATAAATACTCAGTTTATATCAAACAGTCTGGAACAGACAATGCAATAGCGGTAAAAGCACGTTTACTCACACTTATGTGCTGCGACATTACTGTTGGATCCACTTATAAAATAATCCTAAGTAATTATCATTAAAGCCAGACAATTTTGTTGGTAATCTTTATTTTTTTTATTTTTTTTTTACTTTATAGTGACCTTTCATTTGGAGGAAGAGAAACTGGGGGAGTGGCTTTTTTTTTTGTCAGGCATGTGTCACTTTGCTCACATCTTATTGGTCCAATTTGAGATCTCTTACCCAGAACATAACCTGCCCTGGAGTAGGTTAGCTGTGGAGTGTAAGTTAATATGGCAATGAACGCTGCTAAAAGCCAAGCCGCTTTCATGGTACCTAAAACCCTGGATTGATGCAAACTAAACTATATCTTACCTGGCTAGCCAGTTAATCCGGCCTCATGGTACAGGCCCCCGCTCTATTTCTGACATACAAGCATTCGAAAGAGAAATTGATTCACAACATGACGCAACAGCACTTTAAAAATTAATTCCATGGTGTGATTTTTGGCTCTGCTCCTGGTCTCTAGAGTTTTTTTCTTTTCATAATTTAAATTAGGATAGCTGATTTAAATTTTGCTTACATTAAGGTTATAACAAAACACTCCAAAAGGATTTCAGAATATAGAACACTGCGCGTGCACACACACACACACACACACACACACAGGTTTGTTTGTGTGAATTGTGGGGACATTCCATAGGCGTAATGGTTTTCATACTGTACAAACCGTATTTTCTATTGCCCTACACCAACCCTACACCTAAACCTACCCCTTACAGGAAACTTTCTGCATTTTTAGATTTTCAAAAAAAACTAATTCTGAATGATTTATAAGCCTTTTGAAATATGAAATATGATATAAATCACAAAAACGCACACACACATACACATACACATACACATAAATACTAGCCTTTTAAGAGGATCTGCTTATGTTGTTCAGGTGATTACATTTGGATTTCATCATGTCACATATCACTCTGAGAAATTAACGTTCTTAGAATTGACAGACAGTTGACCCTGAGAGGTCAAGTAAATATCTACAGCGGATCTAAATATTTGTAATTAATTATAACTAGTTATGATTAATTATTCATATTTCCCCATGAATGAGCTGATTCGCTACACATACCAGCACACACTCAATGCTTGCAAGCGTTTCTGTGAGCTATTTTGTTCACTCAACCAGCATTCCAACTGGAAAAGTGTTTTCATGTACAGTGGAATTAAAAATAATATTTAAACCTGGAAATAAACAGAGAGCTTTAGGATTTTGGAAAATAGTGAATTAAATTTTTGGAAAAAGTGTATTAAACTGAGACAAATGCTAATTAGAAGCATTTTCTTTAGTGAACTTTTGCATCCCATTGCATTTATGCCCATATGTTTAGGTGGGTCATCATTTGATCTGGTAGACCGGTTGATCATTTCCTATGATCACAACACATATGATGCCCTACTTTTCCTATTTGTGAGCATTTTTGAAAAGCTAGTTTACTTTCTACTGTCTGACACACTTCCATAATCTGTTCTGTAAATTTGGGATGATAAACAAGATAAATTTGGTGAGCTTTTGGTAGTGAAATGTAACAGTGCTCTAAGTGTGTTTAAAATAGCTTTTTGATATTAAGTTTTAGAAATTCATTTTACTGGCTATTAAACCATAAACTTATAAATATTCTCCTTTAAAAATTTAGATTTTTTTTGATGGGGAGTAGAAGATGCTGATGCAATGCTAAATAGATTTGTGTGTGTGTGTGTGTGTGTGTGTGTGTGTGTGTGTGTGTGTTTTCTTCTAGCGGCCTCTTTGCCAGCCATTACACTGAGACACATTACAGGGAAGATGGACAAACTGTTATGAGCACTCACAACTTTACGGTACGTTAAACAGTCTCACATACATTTGTCTTTTGGTATACACACATTCCAGTGAGGTAATGAACTGGATATTAATTGTTGGCCCATTTCAAATACTGTAAGAGGAAATCAGACCAACTTGTAATACATCTGCATCTAATTTTCTGGGTTCAACCAGAAATGAACATTTTGTCATCATTTACTCACTCTTCCATACTTGTATGACTTTCTTTGTTCTGTGGAGCAAAAAAGGAGATGTTTAGTCAAAAGTCCAAGCTGCCCTTTTCTATACACTAAAAGTGGACAGGGAGTAAAGGCTGTCAAAACCCTCATAGACAGTAAACCAACAAAAAAAAAAAACATCCCGCTAGTGGTACAAAACACTCGAGCACTGTATATTTTAAGAATTTAGGAATATTACAATAGCTTTACGAGAGGAACAGGCTGAAATTGAAGTAATTTTTGCTTAATCTTTGATAATTCATTGTATTGAATGTCAGCTTGGACATTCAGCTATAAACTCATTTTTCTTCCAAGGAAGAAAGAATTTGTATAGGTTTATGAAGGACATGTGGATGAAACAGTGAATTTTCATTTTGAGTGAACTATTCCTATATTGTTGTCAAATATAATGCTTACAAATCTTCAAAAGTTAAACTGCGCTGGCTAGTGCACTAGCACTGGCCTTCTTCCCAGAGCTGATTAATCTTTGCTGTGATGTGATGTTGACACAATGACAGCATGTTGACATTATTGTCAGGCCTTATTTGAATTGTCTGCTGGGTCTTTTGTACTTTTATAATTAGACTAGTGCTAAGAACCGCAACTGACAGCTTTGACAACATGTTGCCATTCCCCCATTCCCAATCACACGTGTAGGCTTGACAATATTATTCCTGCTGAGCATATTTAGCTCTTATTTATAATCATTTAAGCCTGTCCAAATAGCCATGAACATCTTTTGTCTTCAAAGCTGAAAAGGTCTAAAAAAAATTGAGCCGTTGTATAAGATTAATTAATCAAAAATAGGTAAAACATCTTGACAAGGCTTTGGTGTGAGTGATGATAAAACAGTTATTTGATTGACAATCTAATTTGGACAATGAAAAAAACAGACTTAAAATAGTTTTGAAATGGAAAATCATATGCGAAAAAATAGAACTGATAAGGATTGTAGAAAAAAATGAATAACAATGAGAAATTGCTTTAGAATCAATTCTTTGAATCAAAAGGTGGCAGTTAGATTATAAAAATGATTTATGGTTTATTTCTAAGAACTGGTTTTCGAATATTATATTGAAATTACGATTTTATCCTTCAACATTTTTTTTCCACTAAAACAGTCCAAAAAGCTAATTTCTCAGCAGATACATGTGTGAACTGTCATCCAAGGCAGACACATAGAAAAAGCAGCCTAGTTTTTTTTTATGCTGATCCTTAAAATCAGGACATTATGAAAGAAAAATGGCCTGCTTTTACTAATATAAGTCTGAGACTTCACTTTGGTGGCCTAGTGTATTATTTAACAGGGCCATTAGCTAGTCAGTCATCATTTTTAGCTCTAGTTATCCTACATCTATGGCTGTTTCTGGTACGTTCTTTGCTATTCTTGGTCTGTTAAAACTTAAAGATGTGGAAATAGTAGCCACAAAAATTCCCTCAGACAGCTGAGTTTTGATGTGAAGGATTTTTGCCATCAAGCGTTGATTGCTTTTGACAGAGTGGTGTGTTTTTGAACGGTTTTGTCTGCCTGCGTGAGTGTGTGTGAGTGTGTGTGTGTGCGTGCGTGTGCGCGTGTGTGTGTGTGTGTGTGTTTGCACGTGTAAATAGAGATCAGAAAGGTGCCAGTTATTAAATCCCATGCATGACAATAATACAAACTGAACGCAAGCAGGAAAAGGGAGAAAGATTTGCACCTTAACACAGTGATCTGAAACTAAATATCTGTGGGTATGACTGTGAATGTGA